AGTTTTCTGGGACAATTTGGCCATTGTACTTGTTACGGGAAGAACGCCTGAACAATTCAACGAATGAGTTTCGCCCAATTGTAAAAAGCGTAAAAGGGCGATGGAAGGGAAGGAACATCAAACAGCTATGAGATATTGGGTAGCCACTGGCCAAAATCACAAACCTTGTGATTTGGACAAAATGTCAGCTGGAGTGTTCCCTCTTGGTGGAAAATATTGACAAACAGACCAGTGGTAATCAACTGGACACTAAAACCAAATTTAAACATCTGTTTGGAAAAACTTGTGACTCGAAATTCGGTTCTGACAAGTAACTGAAAATATCAAAGTTGAACTTATTAATAGTAGGTCATGTCGATTTCGATCACACAAACCACAAAATCTAAGTCAGCTTTTAGAGAGGTATCGACTGGCATGTTATTAATGTCATGCAATAGATTATCCTCCATAGTTATCCAAATAGAAAGTAAGAACGAGGAAGTCACCAAGCTTGAATCCAACCTGTACTATATCACGAGATTTGAAGGTTAGAAAATGCGCCGATTAAACGACGACCGATATATTCTTTGAAACGACAATGTCAGCATGATATTTTAGTACTCAACAGTGCGATTATGGAAGGCCTTATATGTCAGACATGTCTTACGGCTCTTTGGTCTTTTCACGCGAACAAACTAGGCCTAACAATAAGTCCAATAATAGATGTGTTTGAGTCCCATATGGAAGCATTGTCAGATGGTTATGTGGTGTGCCAGAACTTGCTCAAGTCCTGGGAGTACAAAACAGCCTTCGTGGCAATTCCCATTCTAGTAACATTATCAATGCCTATGACTATTTTAGGTAGACAATACTAATGCTAGGTGCAGTTTCACTTTCTCCTATGGATTTTTGTCGGTAAATGCGCAGTCTATACCAGACGTCACTGGACATTACCAGAGAGCCAGCATATTCCTGCAGATAAATCAAAGGAACTAATCTCAAGATTCACACTAAACGTGCAATTCCGTCCACTGGCAAAATTTATGTACCAGTGGATGAAGTGGCAATGAAATCTCCTAAAGCACTTCGTCCGAATCCTCTTATATCCAGGCCGGGAGGCTTAACATTACTGGAAGAGCCGGTCCCTAGTGGCCTCAATGGCAGATACATAGACATTGTTTCTAATTGGCATGAGATCAAGGATAGCTCTCGCATATGAGAAACAATCCTCACGAGGCATACGCGCCATTTCATTTACACGCGAATGAAGGTGGCTCTCTCTGAACGTACTATCAAATGGAAGACAAGAGAGGTGAACAAAACGAGTCACTTACCAAAACTTGACGTACGCCTGTTAGAATAAAGAATAATCGACATCAAAACGTCAAGTTCAAAACTAAGAAGAGAGGTGGCACACTTTCTTCAACGTGTTGCTCCATCGGGCACATTATTTGGAAGGCCCATAATTAGCAACGTTATCATAAACGTGGCGCCACCCAATACGCACATTTCAGCTCTTTGGATCTAATCGACTACGCCCGAACTGCTATAGGAAAGCTTCTAAGTTGGATGCTTGAATGTTCTCATAGCGCACCTAGGACCGAGTCAGAATTTTTCTGAGAAACAAAGTGGGCAACCTGATGTTTCCGAAAGAACCTATTCGCCCGTTCCCACTTCCGACATTCAAGTTGTCACAGACCCGGAAAATACGGTCAACATCAAACTACTCTCTAAATGATACAACGTTTCAGCTAGCATCCAACGTCTACATGAGTGTTGTGCCGTTTACCAACTGAAAAACATGAGGAAGCCTGGTGAAGCATTATAAACGAGAGATTCAGCTGGGTTCTAGCTAAGTCTCCACAAAACAAAATTGTTTTGCAACTGAGCGTATTTTGCTAATACGGACAATTTTTATTCTACCCATTCTGTCCACAACGAATTGCATCTGCATGTCACTGTTCAAAATAAGCAATACGTAGTTGGAACATGAAACCACTTGCCGATGCGTACCGGGGAATATGCCAAAATGACTGATTTAAGCTTTTGATAAACATTAAAGGAAATTATTTTAAAAACCACTCCTCAGATCCCAACCGTAATATAACACCAGATTCATGTTGTCTGCTAGGATCTGCCCGGTGTTCGTCACCGAGCAGAGGCAGTGGCTGTAACATGACTAAAACCCCTGCCTTCAGACAGTTACGGCCTTTTCCTAACATAGTTGAGGAATTTACATGTTTTATCTTCCGCTTCTTCCCATATGCTTTATTCCACCGTGTTTCACTTTATACTTAACAACCCGTCCCCCTCGATGTCACGTCCCGGGAATTCCTATCTCATACCTTCATCCGATGAAAAGTACTCCACACTACTTACATAAGCTTAAAGAAAACCCTTCGACAACCCACTACAGGTTTTGTCATTTTTTGAGGCTCATCACCCCCCAGCAAACTTATTTCGTAGTTGAACAGTAAACTGTACCTAATTATGGTTATACACCTTACCTGAGGTTAAGGGAAGTTCAGCTTAACAGCGACTGAATCCTCATAAATATATCCAGCTGAACGTACTACACAAACGCCGCCTTGTGATTTCAGTCACAACTAGGGTTAGAAACTCCACTTGTGTAATTTCACGTTCAAGTGGGAAATAAGGTTAAAAAAACTCCATGATCAGACCTACCCATTGATACCCAAAGAGGGCGGTGCAGATAGTGGGTCGTCGAAGAGCCTTTCTTGTTTAAATAGTGATCTTCCGGACGCAGCTGAATGATGTTTACTTCAGCATTATCAAGCAATTGGGTGGATTGCTTGTTAATTTCCTTTTCTTGTCACCACTCTTAGGTGCATTACGTCATGAAAATGTGTATTGCTGATTCCAACAAAGACCATATCTTCCCGACGAACAATGCCCTTCTGAAAAGCTGACTTCATTGCTCCTACCTGAGAGTTAATGCTCGTTTTAGGGCGGGACTCCAATGAATATCCTACAGGTTATCTTTTCAAGGCGATCTTCCAGTAGTCTACCAAAACGCTGAAGTTGGCCATTGAAATGTATACTAGTAGTATACCGTACGCCTCCAGTGACTAAGTTCCTCGTAGACATTTTTCTCAGAGAACCTGATTCCCTACTTTATCCCTCCTAAGTATCATCTTGATTACGAATGCCACGTCCCCATTCCGCTATGGTGGAGAGAAGTTTTAACTTTCAAAATGTACACGATGGAGCAGGTACACTACAAAAGTCGGTATTTGAATAATCAAAGGGGCATGTTCCAGGGAAAGCCTTCCTTTCGTTGACATTCACCGGAGAGTTGAGGTAACCGAGTGAATCAGACAAGTCGCACCGTCATTTAGGTAACCATACACGCTATTCACAACATGTAGGTTGACATAGCTCCTGTGTAAAATGATCCGCCAGTCTGATTAGGAATTCGTGACCCACCTGTTATAAGACAGTAGTTCATGCGTGGATGACAAGTGTGTCGTTCGCTGCAACCCAGTCGAGGATAGTTCAAATGTATTGCATAAGAAGGAAATTGATTCGACCACATGTACGGACGGGCCCTGGTGCCTCCAAAGAGGACTCAAATGCTCCCATTACAGACTTTTTGACGTAGTACACTCTAGAGACCGAT